ACTGGCAACATTGAGCATCCAGTGTATTGTTAAAACCACTAAGACATATTTAATTGATATTGGTGCTTTAATTGGTGAGTTGTTACAGTTACACAAATAACAAACTCATTTATCTTATTCCTTTGTTCATCATATAATGCAGTTTATTTATTTACCAGGAATGTTTGCAGATTTTAATCTTCAGCAAAGCTGTTGTGGATAGGACACACCATTTTTAAGCTGCTGTAAAATTGGTTTCCAAACTGTTACCACCTCAGAGTTTGCTAAATGGCTGAAAAAGGCAGCTGGTCCCACCATCTGTTTAAAGCTTTTAGGGGCCAAAAGAAACAGGTTACACCTTTAGCCAAGCCAACTCTTTCTTTACCCCCTTCCACTGATAGCCTGCAGTGGGCTAATCTAAATTTCACGCTCTGATTTATTCAGACACTCCTACATCTCCTGCTACAGTCTCAGCTGCTTTGGACCTGCTTAGAATCAATTTCCGTACTCCTTCACCCCTGTCAAAATTACCTCTCTCTTCTAAAGGTCGAATAAAAACAAAATTACAGGTATTAGAAACAGACGTGACTCCGATCGGATAAATCCTGGTTTTAACTTCACAGCAGAATCACAAACTTGCTTGAAAACACAACCCACCAGATTAGTCTCTCAGAGAAACTTTCGGTTAATGGTTCTAATTTCCAGTTCCTGAGTTTTTGTTTCAGCGCCATGTGTCAATGTAAATGGTGGCAATTCAAATGTGTGAAAAGAGGATTAGTCTGCAACAAATTGCAGGTGTGAGGAAGCTGAAACAAAGGAGAGCGGAGGCCTAATGGCATCTCATGTCATTTAAAGGTCTTTGATGTTCCCATTCTATTCTGTTTCTCTTTTATCTCTACTTCTGAGCCTTGGCCTTCTCTATTAACATAGCCTGTTAAGGAATATGTTTCTGCATATCCCTTTTAAACAACCGTAATTTAACACATCTGCTTGCTGTTTCTGCGTTTCCATAGTATCAAACATTATCACAGGGTAAGTAAAGCCCTATGAAGTTTACTATGAAAGCACTGGTAATCTTTTATTTATACTGAGAAGAAAGTGAAACAAGACTTATTCCAGATCTAAGTAGATTACTTTTTACTAAACGGGATCAGAATTGTGCACTACGATTGCCCGAGTGAAACAAATCATCCTGTCAAAACAGGACATGAGGACCACATTAGGCAGCATCCAGAAATTGGCATTTAGCATAAGAAACATAAAACAGCAGACTGATGGACCTATTTGTTGCTTTCCTTCATTCATATGGCTACCAGGCCACACAGGCAGGAAGTAATTTTACTGAAAAGCTTGAACCCAGGTGTTCTCAATAACTGGCTCAATTGATCTGTTGATCTGCTTATCAGGAGTTACTGAGGCATTGCAGTGTAACAAGTATAGCCAACGAATGCTCATATATACACATTACAACGAATTGCCAATGATACACCGCAAATAGTTATATCCTGCTCTAAACAAGTCGGCACCGCTTAAATTTGTCGAAACGTTCCTAGAAATAAACTAACCAGCTCGTCAGGACTTCAAAAAAAATCTGGGGTTTTGCACAGCAGGGTTTAAATAAAACTATAAATTATTATAAAACTCATCAACATCAAGTCAGATGAATAACGGGCTCCTAACAGCACTTCATAACTGTAATTAATGAACCACAGTAATCGGTGATGATATAACAAAAAGCTCAACTGAAATCAAGAAAACTAACCTTTAAAATTGACACTTGCTTGTTAGCAGTTCAGCGAAACAGTCAATTCACCTTAGAGTATACTCTGCGAAGCAGCTTAGCTCTCTATAGCCTCTACTGCAGTTCTACAAATACAGTTACTACATAAAGTTACATGGAGTGACACAGCACTGAAATCTGCCATTGAGACCAACTAGTCAACTAGTCTGTTATGGTATTTACACTACATTCGACAGTTATTACATGTGAAGTGCTTTGAGACTTTGATCTCAATGTGTTAAAAGTGTGATACGAAAATGCAACTACTTTCTTCTCTCTCTCTCTCACACACTCCACAGAATTCAGTTAAGATAACTTAACACTACAACGATTTGCATTTATATTGCATTTATAACACAAGAGTGAAAACGGAAAATGGTCCAGATTGTTCATTTCAATTAACAAATTATTAAGTTACCGATCAGGTAACTGTATATATCGTCAAGTGGATCGGACTATATTTTAAAGGGATCTTAGCATTTCAATATTTCGAGAAAAAAATTTATTTCTTTTATGCCGTCGATAGCTGTTTCAATGGGAATTTTACCACTAATATTCTCCCTTTGAATTTCAAGTATTAATTGATCCCAATCTTTGAATTGATGGTTGCTGGGGCTGCATAGCAGGAGTTTTACTCTGCATCTAGCCGGTCTGCACCTGATCTCAGATATAACTCACCTTTAATGAACATAAAAAATCCATAAAGCAAGCAGAGCCACATCAGCTCAATATTTTTTATTCAAGGGATTTTTCAAAGATTTACAGAGATAAATAATAGACCAGAAAAAGAGAAGTATAGAAATATGCCAATTATACAATACTCTTACACATATGTATTCCTTTGGAATAAGTACCACAGTTATTATTATTTTCAGTTATACATTGGCTGCAACAAGCACATATCATGACCTGAAGGAATCAAAAGACACCTGTCCAACCCATTTGTTACTCTGCAAGCTAACAATAGAGACATGAGCGGCCCGCACGTTGTTCTCTAAACCCGTGCTGAGCTCATGGGGGGGGGGGAGTGTTGTTTATTGGCAGGTGTACAAGGTAGGATGTTAAATCGCGATCGCATTTTGTTTCGTTATTTCTCTATTGCGATGTTAAATCACAATAGGCCCTCCTCTTCCTCCGTGCCTTCAGCCACCCTCCTACCCTCCCTACTCTCCACCCTCCCCCATTTATTTTGTAAACGCATGACCACTTTTATTATCTGCCCCACAATAAATAATTAGCTTTAACAGAAATAATGCAATTTTCCTACAACTTATATTTTCACAACTTTCTCAGTGCTGGAAGCACTATCTCATGGAGAACTGCCAGAATTTTGAAAAGGAAGCGTTTTCATCATTTATCCGTACATCACTCCAATTGAGACACGTCCATATTTCTGCCCATTTTCCCCTAATTTTACTGGATACACACATGTTGAACACGAGAGTTATTGTGCAGAATGTTGTTTAATGTGAAAGCCATGGTGCAAGCTGTCTTCAATAATACTTCCTTCAGTTTTCAAATTGTCAAATTAATGATGGAATTGATTCAACTGATCAATATTGCAATATTGCAAGTGCAGTAGTTTATACTTTCAACAGGAATTAAAAACTCATCACCAGTTTATGGATTTGCTGATGTAAGTTTCGAGAGCTAGTGATTTCTTTTTAATAAAAAAGATTATTGATACCATTTTTATAGTTGCTGATAGTGTTCATCATCCCTACTTACACAAAATATGCATCACTTGTTAACATACATTAATTTTCCAGGGCTATTAAATTCATTACCTTTTACGTATAACCTTAATGGATTTCACTTTTAATTATAAAAAATGGTCAATTATATCTATAAATGTTCACAATGCTGCAGGTCGCTGAAGTTAAGGCAGGTTTTAATGAGAAATATAAAAGCAATATGTTACCTACAAAGACATTTTTCAGCTGTGTGTAAAGCCTGGTCCTCTTGGAACAGGAGGAGGTGGGGGCTTGGATGGATCATCTTCCTCAGGGACTGGCTCACCAGCTGACAGTAATTTGTAATACTCATCCTCAATGTCCAGCACTTTGATTTGACTGTGATTAAAAAAAGAAAAAAGGTATTAACACAAGCAACAATTCACTATCTATAATAACAATGATAAGCCTTGGATTTGATAATATATGATATGCTACTAATAATAATATAATAATAATCCTTGCATTTGCTATAGCCCCTTATCGCGACTTTGAGACGTTTCAAAGTGCTTCACAGGATATACTATAAAGTGAATTGACTGTATATTTTGTGGGCTGCCAATTGCCCACAGAGGTGTCCCAAAAACAGATGTGAATTGAGTGACCGAATTATTTTTCTTTGATTAAGGAATTATTAACCCCGGAAAAGTGATCCGCCAATCAACTAACAACCTGGTTCTGACTTACTGCTAGGTAAACAGAGCCATGTAGAGTAAGGAAACTTGCCTAAGGTTTTGCCCCACCTGGGAATTGAACCCGGGTCCTCTCGCTTGCGAGATGAGTGCTCTAACCAATATGCTACAGGACTTCACACTATCTGTATCTGTAAGATACTTGCTCGTAGAAATCTGTACATAAAAGTACTTCATATTACGTTAAAGTTTTAATCGCTCGTTTTTAAACAATTAAGCATCTGTTTGGTGCAGAAGTTTGTAATCTTCAAAGTCCAAAAACGATGCACGAACATGTGGAATATCACAATAATCTGTTTATGATTTTTCAGTTGGGAAAGAAATAGGAACGAGTATCTGTTTACCCAAATTTTCTTGGCTTTCTCTTGCTCCCTTGGTATTCAAGGATTCCCTGTGGAGAGGCCAAGAACACACAGTCAACAGCAAAGCAGCAAGTCGTTAATTTTTAATTCAAAGTGATTTTGTGTTGAATGCAAGCAGATGCTGATAATATCAGAAGTCACAGCATAATTTTTTTGATCAAAGAGCTCAAGTGAGCCTGATGAAGCATGCATCTTGCTTGGCTTTGATAAACCACATCAATTATTCACCGTGACGGCAGACATCCTGACATGAAAGCAACAGATAAAGAGCATAAGCACATGTTCACCAAGACAGACAGAAGAAGAGCATGGGGGTGGGGCTGCAGAGGTTGGGGCAGGTATTTATAATGGTATTATCATCTGGACCCAAAGTCAGCAAAAGAGCTTTATTGCTACTTTGAACTCACATTTAACTGGTTATAATACATGCTGTCCTCAGGGCTGTTCAGCATTTTGGGCTGTTGAGTTCGTCGGCGAGGTGTTCTTTGCTGTCTTTGTTCTGACTGCTTTCCTGATTCTAAACATAAGAGTATGAAGCGTTAACCCCCAACAATCTGAAGCTACAGCCGGATGTCAGTCGGTCTACTGTAAATATCTTTGCTGCCTGGTGCACGGTAGATAATTCTTTTCACCCCTTTAGTGTTAGTATTTGTTTGCAGTGTTAAAAAACAACTGTAGCGCCACTGAGAAAACTGTGCAACGATTCTGAGAACAGATATGTAAGGATCCCTGGATTTCTGCAAATAAATTTTTCTTCTGACTCAAAACAGACTTTTGATTTGTTCTTCTCTTGTTTTTTTCGGACTCATTCACTGAGCCACATATTCATTTCTAGTGGGTCCAATGTCTGTGTCAAGACACCTCGGTGTCCAAAAACCTGGCAATAAATGAATTTGGCCTATGATAACTTGACCAGCAATGTTTCTTCCTCTCCCTGTGGGAAGGTGCCTCCCGCCTGCACCATATCTCTCCTTAACTTGATTAAGATTGAACACTAACTGCAGGGGAGGGAGGTGGGCGGAGTGAAGCAAACCAAACAAGTTCACATGATGTTATATATTGGTCATAATGTTATTGCACCTTCAGACCACTGCCAAAAGCTTAGTGACGCAGATAATCGTGAGATATTTAATGTATTTACTTTGATTTCAAAATGTATCTGAAATCTAAATTTCAAGATCTATCTGTCAATCTTCAGCCTGAAACCCACTTTGTTCAAGAGATAACCACCACAAGTGGATATCTTAACTAATTTCCTTATCCTCAATCTCAGATCACTGCAGATAAATGTAGCATCTCATGGCCTGAGCTGAACGGGATTGAACTTGGTACCTTCCTGATCTGTATCCCTTAGTTCTGCACTTGTCAGTGAACATAGTAAATGAGCCAATGGAGAAATCCTTAGAGTTGCTGAAAAGGAGATGCACAAGTGATCATCCGAATTTTTGTGCCAATAAGAGCTTAGTTGTGTCCAAATTTCTATCCACTCCTCTCCTAAAAGTTCTGACTCCCACTTTGGTACGGTTCCACAGGCCCTGAATGCTCTCCAAAGAACTCTCCCAATTGGCCGTTCTGTCGTGTGAGAGCCTCGAGTGAGGTTGGCAGCTTATTTGACTGTGGGGTGAAATCACAACCGAAGCCCAACGCTGTCCTCTCCTGATGTCCGCAAATGCATTTTGGAGAGCGATCAGGAGTGGCAGTCCTCAGGGTGCAGAGGCTAATTGTGGCTGTGCTGTTGTCTAGGCTGAGATCAGCTAACTCAACACAGACTTTTGATCGAATTTGGGATCTTATGGTGTCTGTTTGTGTCAGTTCACACCCGCCAGTCGCTTTACCCACTGAGCCAAAAGGACAGCTGCCCCGTTTTTTTCAATTTACAAACGCATGAAAAACAGTGGCATATTGCCATCACTATACCTTTTGTAAGGCTCTCTAAGCCTCTTATCTGCAGCACTTGCCAGAAGCCTGTGTTAGAATGAAGTGCTGTTGTCATTGCTTGACACACTGCAAGCAAATTCATTGCACTGTCTTTTAGATCAGTCAAGGATACGCTCTTGTGCTCTTGTACTTTTGCACAACTAGGAAATAGAATATAATTATTCCATTTCACAGGGCTAGACTTCCATTTTATTAATATTATCTAACAGGATACATGTTTATTGGTATTTATTTTATTTGGAACGCCATAAGTAGGCTAAACAAAAGCAATTATGGAGGTGATAACTAAATAAAAATATTACAAAGGATAAAATCGTGCATTTGATGCCTCTTATACATTGCCTATACATTAACTTCTAAACTCAAAATTATTGGCCAAAGAGTATTTGGAGGAAAGAGAACTTTATCCATATTGTTGTTGTTGTCCGCAGATTTGAGCTAGATGTCCCTTTGTATCTGGTTATTTATTTTACGCACTCTTCTCCTCTTCTATTGCTCCCATTATATTACACATTGGGGAATCAACTTTACGGCACAGCTTTTAAAACTATTCCCAAATGGGCAGTAGAGTCTTCTAATACTGCATTCCTGATACCATCCCAAACTCATGGGAGCTTTTCCAAATAGACCATCTCCAAGAGACAGTCTCTCAATGATGAGGATTTTCCAGCTATGGAGCCAGACTTTACCACACAAGAACATTAAGTACGTTTTGTCTTGAAAGTGTCCTCTCGCTAACATTTCCTCAAATCACTGTTTTTCTTTGCAATATGAACATGGAATCAAAACTCTACCCTACCCCACAATATTACAGGGCAAGGACAGATCAGCTACATATGTGTATATATATATTTTACACACAATCATTGAAGGTTCATAGCTATTCGCCCCACTGTATCTGTGCTGGCGTTAGCTCCCCCACTGAAGCTATTGACTCATCCCATTCCCCTATTCCAGGAAGTATGATCAGGTTTCCCTACAGCAATCTACTTACCCGTGCGTAAATGTACTGGTTATATGCCAAACTATCAAACTCTCTACATAAAGGCGGATAGTATTGATAATACAAGCTACAAAATTTATTTTCATAAAATATAAAAAACGCCATAGCAATATTGCTATGATATATTAGATTACCCAATTGGAGGCAGTTTACCAATTTAAACAACTCTGCTCTTTGCCCCTTTAAAAATGGCTCCAGACTTAGTTGAACAATCCATTTTAAAGTAGCACGAAAATACAGTACAATATTTTCTCACAGCTTTTTCGGTTTGAGTTTGTGCCTCTGACTCAGGTAGACTCTCCACTTAATCTACTCCACTCCCCGGCGGAGCATGGATGATGAGCGACTCTGACCATCAGCATAAAACTCCACTTTTAGAGTTACTTTTTCTGCCTACTAAAATAAGACACCAACAGGATTTCTTTGAAGTCCAAGCCTTACTTTGATTTTTAATGAGATTTCCAAGACGTGTGTTTTGCTGAAGATGTTTACGCTCAGACAATAACATCCTTAAACTGCTCGGTTTCTTTTTGCTAAATTATTAAGTTAGTTAATGCCCTTGAGTGAGACTACACATTCAACCCTAAATGGCTACTCAATTTAGAAGTTATCCAAATTTGTAAGCGTAAAACAGCCTAACACCTCTTTGATCTTGTACAACCAGGAAACAAAATGACATCTGTCTGATTGATGAGGCTAACAATAATGCTGATTCGTTTCAGCTACACTAATGAAACTAGTGCAGTAAGAGTGAGTGTCACAACAAGGTTAGTCTTTAAAGAGGGCAAAATTCCACAAGATATAACTACTACAAAATCCACAAATCAATTAGTTGAATGATAAACTTACAGTAGAATAAGATCCAAAGGTATGCACACAGTTACAATGGGTAAATCAACACTCAAGTAAGAGTTAGAAAGTGGAAATGAAGAATCGACAATTTAAGGTCTACCATGAATATGAACAATGACCAACCTTCATCACAGGAGAGGTCATCAACAATTCAATCATGCTAAGCCATGTGATTGCTCTATTGAAGAGTCTTCAGGCACATTCCTGAAACAGCTTGGTCAGAAAAGCAAAGTTAAAAAGAACTGTACATTATTTGTTCCTCCTGAAGTCCAGGTGGTGGGATGCGGGCTGCGCAGTATGAAATTGAGACGTACTAACCAGGACGGTGCCAAGTGTGACCTCCATTCTGTACTACAGTAGCCAACTGTAGTTGGGCTAATACTAGGAGCACCAGTGATCTTTAGCTACAGAGGGAAAAATCTCAGCGATCTGACCACTAACAAGTAACCCTGCTGGAAAATGCACGCGTGTGGGAATCGGAAGATGACAAGATCCGTCTGTGATGTTCCGTGGTTGAACGGCCTGATGACACTTACCAACAAGGTTTACACATAAAGAAAGGTCACTCAGCAGCCAGAGATGAAAGACAGTCTTCACACTCAGCGCACTACTCCCATATCACAGCTCCATAGTTATTGTAACTATCTGTTTTCTTTTCCCTCAAATCTGATTTCTATATACAAAAATTGCCTCTTTTATTTAAAGAGATCCCACTGGCAAGAGAGTTCAAAACCAGTTAATGTGTTCTACTTGAAGAATAACTTTGTCTATAATAACTTTGTCTAGAAGGGGCAATCTAGCAATCTAGAAGGTTCTACAAAACAGAGAAGATTTTAAATTAGTCCATGATCAACAGGAATCCTAGAGTGCACAACAACAAGAACAACAACTTCATAAAGTGCCCTTCACATGTTGTAGAGTCTTAAATGCTGTTGTAGTGTCAATTATCCAGTTCTTAGTTTCTGAATAATCCAGAAGTTCTCATATTATAAAATATATTTTTGAAAAATCCAGTCCTAATGTCTGAAAACTTGTCGAAACAGGAGTCAGATTTATGTGCATTGAGCACTTGGGGGGGGAAAGGGGTATGCTTGCAAATAATCTATACATGGAATAAAGCAGGTTTGAAAAAATCTCTGTATTTTAAGATATTCTCTTCCAGTAGGGAAAAAAGTAATGACTTACAGTACAGCTCTGTGTAACATGTTTTTCAAATCCCCTGGAATTCAGAACTGTCTTTTGAAATACATAAAAGAGCTGCCAAAAAAGGCCTTAAAAGTAGAAGCAAAAGCAATATTGATTTTTAAAAATCACAGGTTTTTCATCACCTGATCTTCCAGACCACAGTTTGGGCCACAAGGGTTTTGTTTATTCAGATGGAGAAGCCTTTGGGCCAAAAGGCAAGGACTACAAGGAAAAATCATCACTATTCCTCTTTGAAGTCTTTGCGGGCATATGCAACACAGAACCTGCAAAGGCTTTTGTACTTCATGAACTGCTTCTTGTTTATTGCCCTAAACAAAACCGTTTGAAATCACGCTACCACGAAAACATTCTTAAAACAAAAGCAACCCACTTTTGAGGGTGTTGATTCATTTTGTATGTCTTCATCTCGGTCATTGTAGTTAAATGAGACTCTCCCCCCACACCCCCCATGTGGTTTCAATTTACCAAACACCTTATCTGAATTGCAATCTTAGCTAAATATTGACAGGGATGTTTCT